AAGATCGCCGAATTGAAGAAAAGACAAATCGGTGATATTGGGTTCATTAACACAAATCTCATAGATGCAACTGAGGTTAAATATCGTGCCGAAGATACCGAGGCCAACTTGCTTCGATCGTTGGTAATAAATGAAAACAAAGATATAATACGCTTTCCTTACAACTTCAAGTGAGTGTTACTGTCTTGTGCATATTCGGTTTCCCTTATTAGTCTAGGTTATAGTAATGTAATTATTGAGTTATGCATGTGTGCGCAGCTTCCACTATATTCTCCTAGAGATTAAGCTTGAGCAGGGACTAGTAACCGTCTTAGACTCGAGACGAAAAGATCCCCAGGACTATCCGGACATGACCCAAATGCTCGAGAAGTAAGTTAAATCGATCATTATCCACCATATTAGCAACTTTGTTCATTTCCTGATATATCAAGTAATTGTTTTCTTTGTCCGGCAGGGTTTGGAGAAAATTCACCAAGAAAGCTGCGGGACTGCCGAAGAAGCTGCAATTTAGACACCCAAAATTAAGTACTATATGGTAACATGTTCGACGCATCTCCTAGTGATTCAAGCGCTAGTTTCATCAATACCATTTGGCATGCTTGCTTATCAGTGTGATTGACCTCTATTTCTTGTAAAGTGGTTGTGGCAGGAACAAGGGAATGATTTCTGTGGATACTACGTTTGCGAGTCCATCCGCCACACGACCTGTGAACGAGGGTACTCTGACGAACAATATGAAGTGCGTAAGCAATAATATTCATAATTTTATTTTATTACCATCATTTGTGTTGAGTTTCATTTATTCATATATATATGTATTGACCCCCTTCTTCAAATTAGATCTTTCGGATGCGGGATGAACTCCTAGCACCACATCGTATGCGAGCAATTCAAGAGGAATTGGCGGCATTCTTCCTTGACCACGTGATCGCTAAAGACGGAGAATACTATGTGGATCCTGTGTTCGTATATAATTAGAAGATTATATTGTAAGAGATAATTATTGTATATATGTAGCCAGTAGTGTCGGATAGATATACGAGAACTTGTTGTTCGACCAATCTCTCGAAGAAGGAGAGGTGGTCGATATCACTTCTCTCTGTATGCATATATGTTCATGACGATCTTCTGTTTCCTTCGTTTGCTTACTAGCTAGCTAGCGTGTCTAGTCCTCTCTATACGTATGTGTAGTACGTAGCGTCGACCAAGCATGGACATAAGAGAGGACACTTCTCTCTATTAATTAGCTAGCTAACACAATATATGAAATACCTAAATTAACCCCCCCAAAACCCCCAACCCCCCCTCCTTAAAAAAACAAAAACCCCAGCCACAGAAATGCTGACGCGTGGATGCCTATTGGTCCCGGTTGGTGTCACCAACCGGGACCAAAGGCCCTCCTACCTGGGCTCCGCGCACAGGCCACGTGGAGACCCATCTGTCCCGGTTCTAGACTGAACCGGGACTAAAAGGACAGGGCATTAGTAACGATCCTTTAGTCCCGGTTCAGGAAGCAGGACAAAAGGCCATTACGAACCGGGACAATAGGCCCGTTTTCTACTATCAGTAAAATACATGCACACAAGAGCTGCAGTATATTTATGTGGTTGCTAACTGAGCATATGCATGCACATGTCTGAACTGAGAATATACTTACATATGCATGCACATGTCTGAACTGAGAATATACTTAAACTCCTATTCCTGATTAGCTTAGAACATACATGTTTTTTTTTGTGTGAATGAATGCTTTGTTTGCATACTTATTTGAATAAAGTACAAATAACAGGAAGAAATTGAACCATACTGTTTGGCAATCAGCAATAAAGTAATTGTAGTTTATTTTGTTAGAGAAATAGGTACACTTTGGTAGTATATGTTAATACTGTCGGAACAAGTTCTCAGACATATCTCTGGCCTCTGGGTATATACTACTCCCTCTGTAAACTAATATAAGAGCGTTTAGATCAGTACTTTAGTAATCTAAACGCTCTTATATTAGTTTACGGAGGAAGTATATACTAAGGCCTTATTCCTGGAGAGCAAAAGTTTAGAAAGGTTGTGGTGTTGCTCTGTACAGGAATTGCTTACATGCATGGCTAAATAAAGTGTACAGGAGAGAGCAAAACAGAACAATACTAATTATAGATTAGGAACTTAGGATTAGGCATGCACATGTCCTTTGGTCAGATAATTTGGCTACGCAGGAGCTGTACATGCACACACTCAGGTAGAAGAAATAGAAGCCAGGAAAGAAACCTTTCACGGTAGTTTATGCATCAGGAGCTTTTGTTATTCCAAAGAAACACCCAACTATTTCAACACCACCATCATAGAGAGAGAGAGAGAGAGTGAGTGATCTGTGGAAGAGGGGATAGGTCCAGGGGTTGTGCTCATCTCGTGGGCGAGGAAGTGGATGCAGGGGAAGGCTGCCAGCTCTAAGCCGGAGCTTGAGGTTGGCGTTGCACGCTCTGCTATGACATCGTCCTCCTAGCGAGGGGTTGAAGACGACCCTGCCCCTCGCTGGGTTGGGCTGGGCCGAAAATTAGAGCAGATAGGGCCGAAGTACATAAGATTTTTTCTATTTCTTAGATTATAGAAAAAAAACTAACAAGAAGGATCCACCCATAGGTCAAATACCGTCTTTGACCGTGTCGATGTCAACATCCGGTCAGTAGAAACCAGCCAGGGACTGTTTTTGACCGGTTTGGGATTGTTTAGGCGGTAAGGAAGTAGAAATAAAGATCAGGGGTTGTGAACCACCAAGTTTCTTCAGGGTAGCAAAATCAATCTTTTTTTTCTTTGAGTTTTTACCAAGGCAAGTTTTACCGTTTTTCACCACGACGCTTTTTTAATGACCATGAGAAATAAAACTATACCTTCTGCCATATAAAAATTACAAACATGTTTCTGTTCTTCCAAAATAATTCCCATTATATTTTTTAAGTGAATTCTTTTCTTTAGTTCTAGTAATAAGAACACGGTAATTATTAATTATACTATGGAAATTCCAAAAATGATTTTTTATTAGAATATGGCAAATTTCCAGACATGGCAGGTTTTGCCATGACAAATTTAGTAATTAGACTATGGTAGTTGTTTTGTATATAGCATGGTATTTTACTAATTAGACCATGACATTTTTTCTTGTATTACATATATATACCATGTCAATTTTGTTCATTAGACCATGGCAATTTAATTAACTAGACCATCATAGTTTTTTTTATGTAGCATGTCAATTTATTAATTATTTAGACCAAGGCAAGTTTTAAAGAAATTCTATGACATTTTTTGTTAGTTAGAACATGCAATTTAGTTAACTAGACCGTGTTAATTTTTCTATGTAGCATGGCAATTTAATTATTTAGACCATGGCAAGTTTAATATAACTTCCATGGCAATTTTTGTTAGTTAGAACATGTCAATTTAATTAACTAGACCATGTTAGTTTTATTTGGTAGCATGGTAATTTAATTATTTTAGACCATGCAAGTTTAATATATATATTCCATGGCAATTTTTGTTAGTTAGACCATGGCAATTTAATTAAATAGACCATGTTAGTTTTTTTAGATAGCATGGCAGTTTAATTATTTAGACCATGACACATATAATAGGTATATCATTGCACTTTGGTTAGTTAGACCATGGCAACATAATTAACTAGACCATGGTAGTCTTTTAGGTAGCATGACAACTTAATTATTTTAGACCATGGCAAATTTAATGTCTATAACCATGGTAATTTTGTTAGTTAGAACATGGCAAGTTTTCCTGTCTCAAAACTATTTTTTTATCATGAACCATGTCAATTTTGTTGGACTTATCATGACAATTTTATTTAACATACCATGGGAAAATACTATCAAATCTGTTGACATGATATTTTTTCCCTAGCCGTGTCAAATTGCATTGCTTTGCACAATGTCTACAATACGGCAACTATCTCGATTTCTTTTCTTTTATCTATGCACGCTTTGTGTGTTTTGAAATCATGATTATGTTGTACTCCTTCTATTCCAAAATAAATGTCTTAACTTTGTACTAACTCTAGTACAAAATTGTACTAAGCTTGAGACAGTTATTTTGAGACAGAGAGAATACATTATTATTTAGAAGCATGACAACTTCTGCAGCTAGTAAACAATATATATGTTTTGAATCGTTGGCTATGCGGTAGTTCTATTATAAAATTGATGGTAAGTCTGCATGCTTTTGGTTAATTAAGTCGGGTGAAGAAATATTAGTTTTTCCAAGGCCTGTTTTTTCTAGAGGTAAAACTGGGGTTTTTTTGGCCCATTTTTTTGCTCGAGACCTTACCTTTTCATGTTAATGATGTTAATGACAATTTTGTCCATGTGAAGGGTTCACGCTAAAGGTGTCCTTTTAGCAAACAAATTCGTCGCTTGCTCGACCTTCAAAGCACGAATGAATCGTTCGCGGGGAGGTCCCGTCAAATCTGTCATTCAGTAGTATCGGCGTACAATGAAAAAAGATAAGTCGGATTGGATAAGATAGGGTGTCGCTTTCAGGGATTTAGAGTTCAGCGTTCATTTTCGATGTCGACTACGAGTTCAAGGTTTTCTTAAGAGGTGTGCCTAGGACACATCTAGATGTGACATAATTATATGACATCTAAGTAGATGTCCACTCTGTATGTGGTTTATTTTTTTTTATTTTTTTTTGTTGCTGCATTATATATTTGTGAAAGCTTGGATGTGACATTCTTAAAAAGCATGTAGATGTAAATTAGACAACTTGTTTTTTAAGACTTCTTCCATTCTTATTAAACTACCCGAAGACAAACAAGTATGTTTTGGTTGGTAGTTTGCACGCTTGCATCACGTTGCAAGTTGAAGCACTATAGTGCGCTGATGGTTTGGCCCCACTAGCTTCATGTACTATGACACTTTTACTATATGTAGCTCGCAGCAGCAAACAAGTATACGACGAACTTGAGATCCCAATAGTATCAACGGTGTCCTTGTGCGCGCCGATCAGCATGCGCCGGCCTTGAACCCCACGGCACCGCCGCCAACATCGTACAGCACCTCGATCGTCCGCTGCTGCACGTTGCCGATGATGCCAAGGGAGCTGTCATCGCTGTTGGCCGCGAAGGCGAGGCAGCTGTCCAGAATGATCCCGTCGGTGGCGAGGTCGACGATGACTTCCCCGGAGAACGCCAGTGCGACGCTCGGTATTTTGATGGTGGACTGGCCGCTGAAGTCGAAGCACGTGTCGAAGATGCCCATAGGCTGCGCCGGCGGGTACTGCTTCATGCCGGCCTTGAACGCCGACGATAGCGCAGAGTACGCGGTCGCCGGCAGCCGCGTTATGATTGTGCCGGAGTCCATGATCGACCTGCCGGAGAAGACCGAGGCGGGTATGTTGAGCTGCCTGCCTCCCACCCTGATGGCCTCAAGGAGCACGCCGTAGTACGACGGGACCTGACTGCTCCTCAACATCTGTGTCTTGGAGAAACCTGAGGTTGCTGCGCCGAGGGTGAGGAACCCAGAGGAGTCCGGAGTCGGTGGGAGGCAGTACGAGAAGGCCTTGCCGAAGGTCCCCGCGGTCTGGGTGGCGAGCGACTGAGCGCCGCCGCCGAGCCCCATGAGCCCATCGGTCTGGTCTTCGAGAAGGTTGCCCGACTCAGACTGGCTGCATCCGAACTGGAAGTTGCTGACGGAGCTGGAGCCCAGCGCGAGCTTGTCGGAGCTGTACGTCCCGGTCCCGCTCGAACCGTCGCCGTATTTGACCATGTACTGGCACTGGGAGCCGGAGCAGCCGTTCCCCTCATGGCTCTGGCTGAGCTGCGCGCAGGCGGCGGAGCTGCAGGAGAAGGGTGAGTAGGTGCTCGACGAGCTGGGGTCGAAGAGCGAGTCCGCCTGGGTGTGGCACTGCGAGCACGGCTTGCACTGCACCCAGGACACGTCGCTGCCGGTGTCGATGAGCATGGTCTGGGTCATGGCCGGCGAGCCGATGCCGACGGTGATCAAGTACTCCAGCGTGTCCAGGGAGGTGCCCAGTGTGGTCGGCACGGTAACGTCCGATTGCTCCATGTCACCTGCGCCACCCTTGACGCCGGAGTACTTCCGTCTGATGTAGGCGGCCCGGAGCTGGTCACGCCGGAGCATCTCCTC